TTACATTATGGAAAATAATGACCTTTATCACAATATGCTAATTTTTTTAGAAGGACCTGTAGATATTTTAATTTTTTTGCACCAAAAAAACAGACAATGTAGTTGTTGCAAATATTTATTTTGTCCCCCAGGCTCTAAAATGGTAGTTTTACTGGTCCAGGGATTTTATAAGGACTTTGACGCGTCATGCTTTGCAAGCGTTGAGCTGCTGTAGTGGTTACAGAACAGGAAAGATTTAGTGGAATTGTTTCAAATGACCGTGATGCTTTATACAAAATGCCACAATAGAAAAAAAAAAAAAAAGTCCCAACCAAAGCAGTGGACTGATAAACCCACACTGCCATAGATGCACCAACATCCACTGGAAGTCATGACAATTGATCACTTTCTTTTCAAGTTACAAAATACTGAACAGGTCTAAATCGGACCTCCATCAACCTGCCAAGATGTCCGCCAGAACCCAATGATACAAATGAAATTCTTAATGCAAATAAGAACTAACTTGGATTTACAAACATGGTCACATTCACCTGAGGGGATAAATTACATCACAATATCCATAATACAACACCTAATAAATGATGTATATGTTTAAATTTATGTAAATATTTGAAAAGGTCAAAGATGCCAGTATAGATGTGTTAAAAAAAGTCAGTGTTAAGATCTGCTGCAACTTGGGTTTTGAACCCCACCAACCTACTGACAAACCACCCCCATAAATTATTCACAGGCATTATTTGACCAAACAATGTCGCCAAAGACACGTACGTCAAATTACTGAACAAATGAATAAATACAAACTAATAATAAAAAAAAAAACATCAAAGAAATCAATAAATTAATGTTGACATATTGATGCAAACCATATTGAACTAAACTTATAAAAAAAACAAAAACACATGTAAAACAATCTTATATGAAACTTATAATTTCATTATCACTGAAATACATTCCAAGTTTGTAAAAAAAGTGATAATTAAACCACAGCACATGCAGGGTTGTCTAATCCGATACTGAAGCGACAATGTCCAATGCAGACTTTGGCACACGGGAATACAACGGCAAAATAAAGATTTATTTTTCTTTCTCATGCTGTAAAGTTTATACTTAGCTCCTGAGACTAAAACAAAACCTTTGAATGATGCTTGTACAAAAATACTATTTAAACTTTTAAAGAATAAAAACAGTTACAACCACTTCTTTATAAAAGCACAGTCTCGACAGAAACATGCAATCCATTTCCTCTGTGTCCAGCGAAGTCATCGCCTCACATAAGCATACATGTCCATCCAGAACCCTCCGCTTCAGTTTATTATGAGTGGTTCAGACTTCACAGGACCACTTCCCTTAAGTGCAAAGACAGTCTTGTTAATGTGTCTTGTTAGCCACTAGCTCGTCTTCTGCAGCAGTTTGTCCTCTTTCAGTTTGAACGGTACGCTCACGGACATTTCTGCGATAAACCTTTCGCAGCCCGTCTTCGTCACCTGCTTGCAGTAGCGAAGGTCGATTTGACAGATGCTCCCGCAGCGCTTGAAAAAGTTCAGGGAATAATCCGTGACTCTGTTACAGACTGAAACAAGGAGAGAAAAAAATAATAATGTAAATTTCAGATTCTAGAACTCGCAGAAAAAAATACCCACAATACAAAAAACCTTGTAGGAGCTCCAGTAAGTGCCCCTGTGTGTTGGTGGCGTCTGTCTCCTCAACCCCCGGGTCTCACCTGACAGGTTGATGTCTGTGAGAGAGTCTCTGGTCGTGGTTCCTTTTGCCGTCAGCAGGTTGACAGACTGGTCGTTGATATGGTTGCAGTAGCTCAGGTCCAGCCGCGACAGCAAAGGCATCTGTCGACTGATGAGACGCAAGGACGTGTCGGTGATGTCCAGTCCCGCCAGCCACAGGTCCTCCACGTTCCTCAGCTTGCAGCGGTTATCGAGCTGACCTGTTGGTTGGTCACAACAACTATGAACCGTTTGTATGTCAATACAAAAACGTTAAAGAACAAATAAATTTCAGATAAAACATTGTCAGTTTAAGGGAACCGAGATTTGCTGAATCAGCCAAGTGACCTCAGGAAACCATAAAACACCAGTGGTGCTTGAAAGTTTGTGAAGCCTTTACAATTTTCTACATTTCTGCATAAATATAAACTAAAACATCATCAGATTTTCACACATCCTGAATAAAGACAAAGAGAGCCCAGTTAAACAACTGAGACAAAAATATTATACTTGGTCATTTATTAATTGAGGAAAATGATCCAAGATTACATATTTGTGAGTGGTAAAAGTATGTGAACCTCTAGGATTAGTGAAAGAATTGAGTCAGGTGTTTTCAATCAATGGGATGATGATCAGGTGTGAGTGGACACTCTGATTTAAAGAACAGGATCTATCAAAGTCTGCTCTTCACAACATGTCTGTGGAAATTTATCATGGCAGGAACAAAGGAGATTTCTGAGGAGCTCAGAAAAAAAGTTGTTTCATACGCGATATAAGATGGGACTATAATCATCTATATTTCTACATTGTGTTATAATTAGACTTGAAAATCGATGTAGTTTGTCTTTTTCTGCCCGTCTGCGCCGCCAACTTCATGTGGTCCCTCCTTCTCCCTCACTGAATACAAACAGCTCCTCACGTGCTGCTTCACACACGCTTACGAACGTTGTGAAGACGACTTATTTAATAATATGTAAATAGTTTATTTTTTAGACTTTTATTGTGTACAGTTACAGCTGTTTGTTAATAAATGTGCCTGTGTGACAACTGGAACAAAGCTTTAACTCAAATATATTTTTGTTATGACTATGGAAAGAAACAAGTATTGAGATATATATCATATATCGCCATTTATCTTAAAATATCGAGATATTAATTTTGGCCCATATCTCCCAGCCCTACTCATCAGGCTGGAAAAGGTTACAAAACCACCTCTAAAGAGTTTGGACTCAACCAATCCACAGTCAGACAGATTGTGTACAAATGGAGGAAGTTTAAGACCATTGTTACCCTCCCTAGGAGTGGTGGACCAACAAAGATCACTACTAGAGCAAGGCGTGGGATAGTCGGCGAGGTCACAAAGGACCCCAGAGTAACTTCTAAGCAACTGAAGATCTCTCTCACATTGACTGATGTTAACGTTCATGAGTCCACCATGAGGAGAACACTGAACAACAATGGTGTGCATGGTACAGTTGAAGGAGGAAGTCAATGCTGTCCAGCAAGAACATTGTTGCTCGTCTGCAGTTTGTTAAAGATCATGTGGACAAGCCAGAAGACTGTTGGAAGAATGTTTTATGGACGGATGAGACCAAAATAAAACTTTTTGGTTTAAATGAAAAGAGTTATGTTTGGAGAAAGTAAAACTCGGCATTCATGCATAAGAACCTTTATTCCACCTGTGAAACACGGTGGTGGTAGTTTCATGGTTTGGGCCTGTTTTGCTGCATCTGGGCCTGGACAGCTTGCCGTCATTGATGGAACAATGAATTTGGAATTATATCAGATAATTCTAAAGGAAAATGTCAGAACATCTGTCCATGAACTGAATCTCAAGAGAAGGTGGGTCATGCAGCGAGACAATGACCCTGAGTACACAGGTGGTTCTACCAAAGAATGGTTCAAGAAGAATAAAGTTCATGTTTTGGAACGGACAAGTCAAAGTCCTGACCTTAATCCAACCCAGATGTTGTGGAAGGACCTGAAGCAGCAGTTAATGTGAGGAAACCACCAACATCCCAGATTTGAAGCTGTTCTGTACGGAGGAATGGGATAAAACTCCTCCAAGCTGGTGAGCAGGACTCATCAACATTTACTGGAAATGTTTAGTTGGAGGGGAGGGTCAAACCAGATACACAAAGCAAAGGTTCACATACTTTTGACACATACTAATGTGTAATATTGGATCATTTTCCTCAATAAATAAATGATCAAGTATAATATTTTTGTCTGATTTGTTTATCTGAGTTCTCTTTATCTACTTTTAGGACTTGTGTGAAAATCTGATGATGTTTTAGGTCAGATTTACCCAGAAACATAGAAACTTATAAAGGCTTCACAAACATTTAAGCACCACTGCATTTACAAATAATGAGATAAAACTTGGTGTGGTGGTAGCTGAGTTTCATCCACAATGCATACATTTAAGTCCCCCCCCCCCCCCCCCCCGGGCTCACCACTATGAGTGAACTTGCACAAAAGGTATGGAAATTATTTTCTGCAGGATCTCCTGCTTAACCAACCCAGCTTGAACCTGCAGCCTCAGGATTAAGAGACCACACCTCCCAAAACATATTTTAACTGCAATTAATTATTAGTCTCAACTGTTTAACTGTTAGCAAAATATCTCATGAACCTCTGCACCAATGACGTGCAACAAACATCTCATTGCACTAATATTGCAGTCTGATGGACAGGAGAGAAAAAGAAACATCTTAAGGCTCCTCTTCTGTTGTACCTGGTCTGTTGTCTGTGGGCGGTGACAGCAGGTCCCTCATCTGTGCGTCTTTGAGCCCCTCCACCCACTGCACATCCAGGGTGCGCAGCAGAGGGCAGCTGGAGGTGCAGAGTGCAGAGACAGCCGCCCAGGAGCAGCCTGCCAGCTTTAACACTCGCAGACCTGAAAGTCACAGCAGCATTGTCAAACACTGATCCAGCACCTGTCAAACACAAACTTCAGCTGTTTTAAGCTCAAGAGCAACTATAATGAAATACCTGGTAATCTATTAATAAGCCAGCTTAGCTGTTTTTTGGAAATGTTGGTCCAGCTTAGGTCCAAGGAGACCGGCTGCCGGCGGATAATCCCACTTAGCATGAGTGGGGTGATGGAGGTGCAGCGATTCAGATCGATCTTTGTCCAGAGTCTCTTATCACAACACCTAGTCAGAGGGAAAGACGTGCGTGACTCCTCGTGTCAAAGCAGAGCACTCAACAAGCACCAAACCCTGATCAACAATTCAAGCGATGTCTGTTGAGCATAAATTTGCAAACGCGTGATTTCTCACTGCACGCTGTGCACGTACCATCTGTTCCACGTCTTACAGACTCTCATGCAGACACACAGCTCCGGGTGGGAGAGATAACTGAATATCTTCATCCAGACCTCACGTTGTAAAACGTGTGCTTTGCCGTCTTTCAGGGGCAACCTGTCAGGAGGGGGGCTTATGGGGGGCGGGCGGATGACGTGCCGTTCCATTTGCACGCACTTGGGAGGGGAGCGTGGGGGCACGGGCCGGGTGGTCGGGGTGCTCCGGTTGAAGCCCAGTGGAGTGATGGGACTCTGGTAGAAGTGGCAAAGTTCCCAGTTGGTCCCGTTCATCTCTTTGGCCTTCAGATGAGCTCTCTGGTCGCCAAGTTCGTTACAGTTGCGAAACAGCCTCTTTGGTTCCTCGTTCTCCATTTCTGGTTCCACCTTGAAGGGCTGCCGGTTCTCGATGGCCAGGCAGTCCTCGGTCTTCTGAATTTCCTGGTTCAGCGCTTTGCTCAGTTCTCGGCTCAGCTCTCTGTTGTTAGGCAAGTGTCGCTTACGGCGAGCTTTGGGACGGGGTCCCTTTTCCTGCGTCTCACTTCCTCCCTCGCTGCTGGGACCAGCCTGTGGGGAACTGCAGTATGACTGGTCACTGTCCCCAACCGGTGTCCTAATGGAAGGATTCAAAGGGTCATGCTTGGAGTCCTCTTCAGTGTCTCCAAATCGCCCTTTTCTGTCAATGCTGCTCCGGTAGTGAAGGTCCTTTTCATCTTCGTCGTCATCCCCATACACATCCTCATCCTCCTTTTCAGTCTTAATCTGAGACACAAGTTTGGAAAAATAAGAGTCGTCCGTCTTTTCCTGTGGAACAGAAATGAAGACCTTACAGTGTTTTCATTTAGTACATGTACAAACATGTCTAACACTTTCACCTATAATGATAAAATAAAAGTCACTGTCAATTTTGCAAACCTTCTTCCTCAAAGAAAGATCCTCCTCCTCCTCATCGTCAAACAGCTTCCTCTTCTTCCTCAGTTTGTCCTCAGGTCTGGACCGTGGCAGGCCGCTGGGGGACAGCAGCGGTGGCTGACGGTGGTGAGCCTCATCGCCTCTGAACCTGGGCGTCTCCTCTCTGTCCGGTCTCCTCTTCATGGCAGCAGCAATGTCCCCCTCCTCCTTCGCAGACTTCTGTTCCCTCAGCAAAGAGCCAGGGAGGTTGGAAGCATATTTGAACCCGGGACCCCTTTTTTGCTTCAATACCAAGGGGGACAATAATTGCAAAACAACTTTATACCTTCAGCCTATTGTGACAAGACAAAAACAGCACTGCATTTGTAAATGTACAACTAAAACATGAACACTGTCTTGAGAGTCCTGCTTCTGAGGCTGACAGTGTGAAAAACTAACAAACAACAAGCACAAACAGGATGTGGCAAGCATCACAATTAAAACCAATAAATTGAAAGCAAGAGTTGAAAAAAAGGAAAGGAAATGTACAGGTCCTTCTCAAAAAATTAGCATATTGTGATAAAGGTAATTATTTTCCATAATGTAATGATAAAAATGAAACTTTCATATATTTCAGATTCATTGCACACCAACTGAAATATTTCAGGTCTTTAATTGTTTTAATACTGATGATTATGGCATACAGCTCATGAAAACCCAAAATGCCTGTCCCAAAAAATTAGCATATCATGAAAAGGTTCTCTAAACAAGCTATTAAGCTAACCATCTGTATCAACGACGTAACTCTAAACACCTGCAAAAGATTCCTGAGGCTTTT